AGACGCGGAAGGTATTAAACTGATCAGAACAATACTAAACACACCACAAATAAGGTTTCTCTCCTGTATGGCTCCTCAAATGATGCTTAAGATTGAAGCGGCTGAAAAGCATTTCTCACACTCCGAACAAAAATATATTTTTTTAACATTCTCTCCACTTTGAACGAAATGACGTTTGGGAAGAGATTAACATAATTAAGCACAGGCAGTAAAAATACAGTTTTTAGCCATACACTGTAACTTTAAAACTACACATCCCATCTTCATAATTACATATTTGGAATCAGCACACTTAAAGCATAAACATAACCAAAAATCAGCCAAATCCATCCAGGGGTTAAAAAGTTAGCTGGAGGTCCCTTTATGACCGACCGCAAGCACATTTTCCTGCCCAAAACAGTTCCATAGATTTGGGCTGTGAGGTTGGTCTATTTCAGGCTGAAAAAACGACTAAGTCCCATTGCGAATGGGACTTAGTCTCTGCAGCTGAAATAATTTCCCATTTACTGAACCAAGTGGGAAATAGCAAGGCAGGCACAAAGGGTTTGCACCAGGTCTGGGGACACAGGGGACACCGTCTTAAAGGGCCGTGTCCCCAACAAGTCTGGGGACATGGCCTTAAAGGGGCAGTGTCCCAATCTTCCTGATGTCCCAAAAAAGGTGTTTAAAGGGCCAGCACCAGTCACATAAAAGTCCATAAGCCCCAATATGCCCACCGACAGTCTTAAAGTGCCATACACACCAAATAAAAGTGCATACATTTTCACAATCTCCCAGGGGCCATAGTCATGCGGGAGGAGGCTGGCAAATAGGCTTCTCCACAACCCAGGGGAGGCTTGGGGCAATTTGCATTTAAAGGGCCCGTTACAAATATGCCCAGTTTGTAACAAGGTGTCAATCCACTTATCTGCTTAGAGTATTGTTGACCCGATGTAGGGGACAGTCCCTATTCTGTCTGTGTCTAAAATTCATGTATAAGAGGAACCTTGGGACAGGTGTCAATCCATATCTGCCAAGAAGCCCAGCCCTATGCAGGAGAGACAGTCCCTATTCTGCTCTGTGTCAGTGTGTATCAGGGATCCTTAGGACAGGTGTCAATCCATATCTGCCAAGTGACCCTATGTAGGGGGACCAGTCTCTATTCTACTCTGTGTCCGTGTGCATCAGGGGCTCTGAGGACAGGTGTCAATCCATATGTCAAGATGTCAATATGTCATATGTCAGGTGTCAATCCATATTGATTGTGATTTAGGAATGTTAGGTGATTTCTGCCCTTTATGGATTAAAACCAGACTCTGTATCAACTGTGTAATTTTCCATGGGAGTTTTGCCATGGATCCCCCTCCGGCATGCCACAGTCCAGGTGTTAGTCCAGGTGTTAGTCCTTGAAACAACTTTTCCATCCCTATTGTGGCCAGAAAGGTCCCTGTGTGTGTTTTAAAATTAAGCCTCCCCATTGAAGTCAATGGCGTTTCGGGCGGTTCGCGAACATTTGCGGAAGTTCGCGTTCGCCGTTCGCGAACCGAAAATTTCGGGTTCGCGACATCACTAGTAATAATCAATAGGTAGTGGTACACTCACAAACATAGAGCCACTGGATAGGCTCAATAATTGAAGCACTGTGGGTACTTAGGGACCCACTTCCTTCTTTCTATGGTGTAGGAGATTCCAATGGCAGGAACTTTCTCACAGATATAGGTCAGTAAAGTGCTTTATTAAGTAAAGTGCACAAGAAAAAATCATAAAATAATCAGAATAATTTAGTAAAAAACCTTAGTCTGAAGGTAGTCCTTATGGTACTGTGCAAAACGCGTTTCGCCTCAAAACGAGACTTCCTCAGTTGCTAGTTGTAATCTCTCAATAGTCCTGTTTAAATATCTTCCCATTTGGCGTTTTTTTCTGTGTCTCCTCATAGTTCGGGATGTATTATTGTTTCCGCTTCCGGTTTGCGTTTCACCCGTGGAGCGCATACGTCACTCGATGCGTTCCACGGCGTTGTTCTCTTTGATTCCATTTCCTCTTCGCGAATGGCGAACGCGAACTTCGGCAAATGTTCGCGAACCGCCATAGACTTCAATGGGCAGGCAAATTTTAAAACCCACAGGGACTCTTACTGGTTGAAGGGGGGGAGGAGACCTACTCTCCTCCCCCCCCGGCCCCCACCCCTGGGCGGCGGGTGGGGGCCATAAAGATAATGAGGGGGGGACCTACTGTCCCCCCCCGGCCCCCACCCCTGAGCGGTGGGTGGGGGCCCTAATAACAATAAGGGGGGACCTATTGTCCCCCCCCGGCCCCCACCCCTGAGTGGTGGGTGAGGGCCCTAAAATGAATAATAAGGGGGGGACCTATTGTCCCCCACACCCCTGGGAGGCGGGTGAGGGCCACAAAGATAATGAGGGGGGGGACCTACTGTCCTCCCCCCGGCCCCCACCCCTGGGCGGCTGGTGGGGGCCATATTGATAATGGGGGGGGGACCTACTGCCTCCCCCGGCCCCCACCCCTGGGCGGCGGGTGGGGGCCATAAAGACTAATGGGGGGGCCTACTGTCCTCCCCCCCGTCCCCCACCCCTGGGTGGCGGGTGGGGGCCACAAAGATAATGAGGGGGGGGACCTACTGTCCTCCCCCCCCAGACCCCAACCCCTGGGCGGCGGGTGGGGGCCACAAAGATAATGAGGGGGGGGGAACCTACTGTCCTCCCCACCCCGGCCCCCACCCCTGGGCTGCAGGTGGGGGCCCTAAGTAAATCCCCCCCAAGGTGACTAGGGGTCCCCAAGCCCCTAGTCACCCCCCCCAAATAAAAAGTCCCTACCTACCCCCCTCACCCTAAAAAATAGTGAGGGGGGAATAAAATAACTGAGCTCTGCAGGGCGGGGGAAGGCTTATAAAGCCTTGCCACGCCCTGCAATTAGGCTAAGAACACTCTGATTGGTGGGTTTAAGCAGGGCCGGATTAAGAGCATAGTGGGCCTGGTGCTGACAATTATGATGGGCCTAATTACGGAATCTTATCAACCAAAAACACTAAAACAATCATACCTCCCAAGCGTCATGTATCTGATGGAGATGGTGCTGGAGGGAAACTCATAGGATGCAGCACTAAGAAAACACATACTCTATGCTAATTTCTCTCTAATTTATGCTTTCATCTTTCAAGTAAATCCATACCCCTAACAGCAGTGTCCAGTGAAGCAGGAAGTCAATTGGCGGGGTAAAAGGGTGTGCCACTGGCGCGAATCACGTGACAAGACCTGCCAAAAGGAGTGAACATGCCCAAAAAGGGGGCATGTTTGTTTTAAGAATTGGAAGGTCAGCCTGGCATGAATGCATGTCAGGCTGCCTGCCAATCCTGCAGGCTGTCCAACTAAGGGCATACAATGCAGGCAGCACCTTGAGCTTGACATAAATGCGTCTAATGATGCGCTCACTCCATTCTTTCTAAGGACTGTCCCCTAGCACTCGCTGGTCCACTTGTCTCCTTACCTTCTTACTAGCAGGCAGAAGTTCCTGGTATAGTCTGAGACAGAGAAAAGGTGTCTGTAGTGAGTGTAGAAGAAAGGGGACATGCCACAGTGTTAGAGAGACCAACGTCTGCATTACCTAAACTAACTTTAATGTCAGCCAGTGCACACATGTTTTGTTCCCATACATCCCTCTTAAGCTTCCAAACTTAATGGGACACTATAGTCACCAGAACAACTACAGCTTATTGTATTTGTTCTGGTAAGTAGAATCGTTCCATTCAGGCTTTTTGCAGTAAACACTGTCTTTTCAGAGAAAATAACTCTACTGGCCGCTCCTTAGATGGCTGCTAGAGGTGCTTCCTAGGGCTGTACTGCCTAGTGTGCAGCACTGCCATTCAGTGTCTCCACCCTCTGCATGCAGACACTGAACTTTCCTCATAGAGATGCATTGATTCAATTTATCTTTATGAGGAGATGCTGATTAGCCAGGGCTATGTTGGACTTGTGCTGGCTCTGCCCCTGATCTGCCTAGTTGACAGTCTCAGCCAATCCTATGGGGAAGTATTGTAATTTGCTCAGACCACCACTTCTGAGCCAGCAGCTGCAGAATTGAATACAAGTAATATTTTACTATATTTAGGGAGGCAAGAAGGGGCCAGGGTGGTGGTTTTAACATAATAGGGTAAGAAATACATGATTGTGTTCCTGACACTATAGTGCTCCTTTAAGCAAGAGTATGTGAAGAGTAGTTAAGGTTGCCACCTTTCTTGGAAAAAAATACCAGCCTTAATCATTTGCATAATTAATTAGTTATGCGTGTAAACCACAAGGAGTGACATCAGAGAAAATTCTGTAAAATCACCAACAAACCACTCACAGTTTGATTCTGCTGTATAGATGGATTGCTCCCAGTGTCTCACTGTCTCCCAGTGTCTCAGTCTTGCAAGCCACCCTGTGTCTCAGTGTCCCTATGTATCACAGTGTCAGTGTCCCCATCTCGCCCAGTCCCCTAGTCTCCCAGTGTCTGTGTCCCCATTTCCCCCAGTGTCCCAATGTCTCAGTGTGTCCCCAAGTCACTAGGATACTGGGGACACTGAGAGACATGGGGACACTGAGAGACCCGGGGACACAGAGACATGGGGACACTGGGAGACATAGGGACACTGAGACATTTAGGGAAACTGGGAGAAATGGGGAGACTGAGACACTAGGGACACAGACACTAGGAGACATGGGGACACTGAAACATTTGGGGACACTAAGACACTAGGGACACAGACATGGGAACACAGACATTGGGAGACTAGGGGTCACTGGCTGGGAGACAGACACTTGGGGACACTGGGAGACATGGG